TATATATATATATATAAAGAGAGAGAGAGAAGATTGGGAAAAAATTGGAATAAAGAATCTTCAAAAATCCTACAAAATATGAAAATAAGGCTTTTTGAGCTTTGTGAAAAGAACCCTCAATAAATTTTATCCCAGATCTGGTAAAACCTTTCTTCAACCTTGAATGTAGTTGTTTTTTTCCTCCGTTACACTGCAGCTTTCATGGATCCAGCATGGATACACATCAAAGGGGTAGCCGGTCTAACCCCGAGAGCAGAGATTTTCGAAACGAAACAGAACAGTGCTTACAACTTTACGTAATCCTTACTGTTCGTTAGATGATGAATCTTTAGTAAGCGCATATTAAGCGGAATTTAAAATAATTTTATAATTCTAATGACGAATAAATAAAGATAGCTTAAAAACAAAAGAACATTAGAGAGTTGACATGAAAAAAAAATTATCTACTCAGGTACCGTGTAATAATCAGCCAAAACAAGCCAATATGGTAGGTCCTTCTAATTGACCAATAGAATGAAGTTCGCTTGCTAGAAGAAAGAGCCATGGCTTCAGATTTGCACAGCAGCCCAGGGTCGGATCATGAAACATCACGAGAAAGTAGTATGAAAGGGCAAGAAACAAAAAGACACAAGACTGATGAGATCATCTGAAATATTTATTGGTCAAAGATATTACATGTGCTGTGATATATGATTTGTGAAACTGTCACAAAAGATGCTAACACTTTCCACCATTACAAGCAATGTATACGTTACACCGTCGGGTCATGGATCGGTGGGCACACTCAAATACACCTGGATTTTGTCTGATATCCGCAGCATCACAGACGATTCTTGAAATCTGTTCTATTTTGGAATATACAAGTGTTATGTATACAGCTCTTTTTAGTGCAACGCAAAGAAAAAACTCCTTGTCGCTTAAATCAGGATAGTGTGGCGGCCAGGGAACCGGTTCCCCACTCCAAATTAATCTTATGAGCCATCTAGCGGCGAGCGAAGTTTGGGGACCAGGGATTGCAGTGTAAATCTGAATCCATTGGATGTCCCCTATCTTCCCTTAAAGTTTGTCCCAATAATCCTGGGACAAACCTGTATATATAGTTTAGGTAATAAAAAGGATTTTAAAAAAACTTTTCCAAAGAAAAATATAATGCGAAACTCCTCTCATTTTTATTCTTCAATTTATTTTATTCTTTAGTTTATTTTGTTTAAAAAAATCCAGAGGCAGCATTTTAACAGAATAAAAATTCTAAGGTGAAATATAAATGATATAACTACTCCATTTCAAAAATATATCTACTCAATGCTTTTTATAGTTAACTTTTATCTTGATAATTGTGCCATATTTTTCTCTGAAATGCTATTATACAAGGAAATATATTTTCCAAAATAATACAAAATGCAATATGTAAACCATATTGCATTGTTTCACCTAATTACACAAGGCACATTAGGAGGTCTTTTTTTAAAAAAAGCGAATTCTAAAAAAATCATAATGACATTGAATGTCCTTGAAAAAAGACATAAGCTTTGACATTTTCCTTGTTCAATGAATAGAAAAGAGAAAAATTTAGCAGTTAGTTTCATTTTGAAAGAATTGAAAGAAAATTCTGCTTTAGGCTGAGTGTAATTATGCATGTCTAGCATTTTATGACTAAGAAAAGCATTTTTAGTTCTGATCTTCCAGTTCTCTTATAAGCTTTTATTCGATTAGAGCTCATTTATTCAGAAGCTTAATGTGAAAAATTCGGTAAAATGTCAGAGATTATGAATTAACCCAACCATTTTCACTAGTAAATGGATTAAGAATTTTTTTTTTTCGATTTAATTAAACATTTAATCTGGACAGTGTTAATCTTAGAATATACCATTAATATTATGATTAATAGCAATTTTTGATTGTATGTGACATTTGAATGGAAGCAACTGTGATTTATATTCTTCTGATCTCTCTTACTTACTGTTTATTTGCGTTACATAATACTAATTCTGTTTCTTGTTTGCTGTTTTTTTATGTTAAGTTCCTAGTTATTCTGAGATTCTTTTTCTGTGTTATATGATTAAAGTTTAATGAGAAATTAGAGAGTAGAAATAATATAATAATAAAAAGAATTACGTATGTATAAAGTGCGCGCACTTTTATTGTCTGTGAATATTTAAATAACTAATACTTTTTAAAGGAAATTTTTTTAAAAAAGTTCGTTATTTCCAAATTTAATCATAACAACGTGACACACACAGAGAAAAAAAATAACCTAGTGAATTAGGTACTGAACTTTATAGTAGTGAAATTACTGGTAAAAAAAAATAATAAAATAAAAAATAAATAAAAAACATAATTTTGATTAATAAAACCAAAATGCACTGTATTTAAACCATTAATTTTGTAATTTTTCTGTTCATATGGCAACGGCTTACCAAAAATTCTGGTTTTCTAAATTATAATTCTTATTACCCCAAATTTAGTAAAAATACGAAACAGAAAAATAAATTTAACCAAATAAATGGTTTCCATGCCCTGCTCTAAAGTATCATGCTGAAATTACCAATTTTACCACACTTACCAAATTTCATCACATGCTATCAAACAATATTTTATCAAGGCTTGATCTAGAAAAGCAGGGGTCCTAGGCACCGAACTGTCAGGAGTCCCCTGGTCGTCTAAATTTGCATGTTGTTTAATTATGAAGTGTTTTTAAACTATTTATGACACAAGTAAATTAAAATATATTAGTAAATTTGAGCTTATATTTATTTCAACTTCGGTTAACTTATAACTCTAATAGACAATTCTTAAGGAAAAACACAAAGAGGAATTATTTGTAATATTTACGAGCCCTAGGCTGGTATGACATAATGATAAATCAGGCGTGTTGTAACTAATTTTACCAAACTCCTTACCAAAGCACTTTAAATTAAAATTACTGAGCTTTTAGTCATTCTAATAGATCCAGAAACACGGTAAATTTTACCATATTCTGGTAGTTTTGACAAATACTTTTTTCTCAGTGTTAGCATGCCTGTGTCTACGCTTTCGTTAACGATTGAAACAAAGCACAAAACTTGCTGATTTTACTGGTAAACGATATCAGACTGCAAGGGGACCATCGATCATCTTTAAACTGTTCTACAGTAAAATGTTTGACTTCTCGCTCTGATCGTCGAATTACTAAATTTGGGGAGCCATTCCCTCTGCTGAGGATCAAAATTGTAATGGCATGTCTTCGAATCATTCTCAAGGATGTCACCCATTGTGCAGCTCTAGGACGATGTAAACAATGTATTACTACTATTATTAAACCTTCGAACTAAACTAAAGTCAGCTGTTATTAAACGATGATTCAATGAACCATAAGGTTTCGTGGAAGGACTACAAGGATTTCGAAGGTTAGGATTTCTTTTAAGCAGCAATAGTTATATTCAATCAAAAACCCATGATTTATTTAATATCTTAGTTTTTTGCTTGAACCCATTTTTAGTAAAGTGCCAATGAAAGAAAAGTAACAAAGTTTTTTTCTGAAACAATTTCAATAACAATAGGTTGAATAAATTGTGAAATACATTTGTATTTATAAAAAATTCAATAAGTATTTCTCCTCGACCTTATCAAATCAAAATAATATAACCAAATTCAAAAATAAAAAATTACCTTTCTCTCATAACTATTCTCACCATTTACAATAACTTTAAAAAAAGAGACAGAAATAAAAATTAAAAAAAACATATTTCAGCATATTTTATTCATTCACAGCATATGCATTCACCAAGAACAAATTCATAATATTAAATATTTCATTCCTCACATGGAATATTTGAACATGGATTCACATGGGTCACAAGGGTTCTAAAAGTTGGGATTTTTTAGAACTAGTAATAGTTATATTCAATCAAAAGTCCGTAATTTATTTAACATCTTAGCAGTCTACTTGCACCCATTTTTGTAAAATTCCAATGAAAGAAGAATAACAAAGTTTGAAAAAAAACTTCAATATATTGAATAAATCGTGGAAAAGATTTGTAATTATAAAAAAAATCAATAATTATTTTTCATCAAGCTTTTCAAATCAAAATAAAATAACTAAATTCAAGAATAAAAAAAAATACTTATCTCTTACTGCTATTCTCACTAGTTACAAAAGTTTAAAAAATAAAAGAATATAAACATAATTAAGCATATTTTATTCATTCTTAGCATATGCATACACCTAGAACAAATTCATAATATTAAATATTTCATTCCTCACATGGAATATTTGGGCATGGATTCACATGGATTACAAGGGTTCCGAAAGTTAGGAATTTTTAAACCCGTAACAATTCATAATTTATTTAACATATTAATTGCTTAGTTGAACCCATTTTTGTAAAATGCCAATGAAAGAAAAATAATAAAGTTAAAAAAAGCTTCAAAAATAATATATTGAATAAATTATGAAAAGGATTTGTATTTATTGCTCATGCAGCTTCCCAGATCAAAATAAATTATTAAATTCAACAACAAGGAATTACCTTTCTCTCATAACTATTCTCACCATTTACAACAGTTTTTTTTAATAATCTTATCAGCTTATTTTTTTTCATTCTCAGCATATGCACACACCAAGAACAAAGCCATAAAATTAAATATTTCATACCTACAATATAAAATATTTTCCAAACAATTAGTAGTCTTTTTTTTTTCTGGTTAGTAAACTCACAGAAGTTAATGAACTTCTTTTATATTGCCTAGATTCCGCCAAAAGAAAAGAACAAATTAGGATTCCATAGCAGGAAAATTTTGGAAACCGCTGATAGTACTATAGGTAACTCTGTGAGTTGAAGGCATGGAGACGCATCAAAAGGCTAAAACTTTTGAGTTTTCAGTTATGAATAATTGGTATTCTTAAAGAACACTAATCTAACAAAAGAATTTAAATTATTGGAGGCGATCCCAGACAGATCCATTTGACAAAGACACTCAATAAACATAAACTATTTAGGAATGTATTTTATAAATGTAAATTATTTCATATGATGATAATATAAGTATTAAAAGTTTGCATAATACATACCGTCATGTGGGGGCTACTTTGTGCAGGATTTCGCAGTTTTTGAACTTTGACATGTAAAAAAACTATGTTAATTCAAACTTTAGTAAAATTTATTGTTATTATATTCTTAACTGGACTCAGACGAGTGAATTTGATCAATATTGGCATTATTTGTGTGTAATATTTACTAATAATAAGTCAAAACATACCTTGCACAAAGTAGCCCCCAAGTGGGGCTACTTTGTGCAGCGATAGGAATTCAGTTTAATAATCATGTTCTTAGTAAAATATTGATATAAAATTGTTAAAAAAGTTAATTGTTGACATTTTTAATAACAAAAACAAGTAATTTTGTTTACAATAATGTTTTGTTTACAAACAAATAATGTTTTGAAAATAATTTTCAGCGTAAAAAAACCATTTTTTATAAAGAATTTGTTCTTAAAAAGAATGTTTATTTCAAAACATTTGAGTTTAAACAAAAGGAAACCATATGCATTTTTGAACATTGAAATAGATGAAATTTCAAAAATAATAATTATTACATATTCATTAACATTTATAATATAGATAAATTTGAACATAACATGTTTGAATGAACATGACAGAATTTGCTCTTCAGTTTCTGTCAAAATCTCCTGATGTCCTATAAAATATATTTTTATGTGTTAAATCGTTTGATTAATTCATTGAAAAATCTTTGTAGAAGAAAAATAATAGTTTACTAGCACGTTTCACGTGTTTCTTGTAAATTTTAGTAGAGATAGTATTTCTGCGGATTTTGTACTTCCGAGAAGCCTCTGCAATCGACATACCACCAGCAACTGCTTGCAAGCATTGTCGCAGCTTTTCTAAAGTGTAATCACGGTAGTTTCTCGTTCCAGGTATTTTTTTTATAACGTCTGACTATTTTTCTGTCGAAAAAAAAACGAATAAAACTTTGCACAAAGTAGCCCCACACTGCATTTCTTTTTTCATTTTCAGTTTATTTGTTATTAATTTTCAAACTTTTTTAACGCTAACATGATATAATCATTTATTAATATGTAAATAAAAAATTTTGCACTTACGGCAATTGTTTTATCAACGCCTTTGCATTTCACAGCTGAAGTTTCCACGCACTCTTTTCGATGTCGGACGTTCTCGGAAAGTTGTTGACATTGGATAAACAAAACACACTCTGAGATTGTTTTAAAATTCGAAAAAATGTCTGTAGTAATAGAGGAGACTTCTATCTTCAAATTCCACACATTTTTAACGTGAAAAAAACATAATACTGAATAGCAGCACTTGAAAAGTGCAACATTCGAATGTGCACAAAGTAGCCCCCGCTGCACATGACGGCAAAGTAGCCCCACATGACGGTACTTACATAGCTGGTGGATTTACTTTTAACAAATTGGTGTGTATCCATCATATGATGTAGTGCAGATTTATTACAATTAAAACCAATAAGTATGACATTTTGCAAAGTAATATATTTCAAATGTTCTACAATTTTGTTTTGGATATTCATAAATAGTTATTTCAAAATAATCCTTCCTCTTCCTTGACTAATTATTTTCAAAATCATTTTTAGAACATAATATATCTTAAATTTTGATAGCACTAAAACAAAACCTATTCCATGTTCCTCTCAAAGTATTGTTCAATTTTCCTTGAAAGAACAATTCTATTTCACAATGAAAAAAAATTATCGTCTGAATCTACTTCTAATCCAGAGTCATTGCCAAAAAAAATTTTAAAATAAATTTTAGTTTTTCTTATTCAGAAAGAATAGCTATCATTTAGTTTTATGAAAATCAAAGAGTTAAATTTCAATTAAAGCAATGACAGTAGACAGCATAAAAGAGCTATAAAATAACAGACAGCTATTTCATTTCAATAAAAACATTTAAAACTCAAAAGTAATCAACAGAAAGACTAGCGAAAAGACAGCAGATTTTTTTTATTCGTGGCCTTACTCTCAAGAGTAATCTCTCAGACGACTTTTCTCCTCTTTCTTACCTTGCTTTGGCAGAATGAATGAATAAAAAGAACAGAAAGATACAGCATACTATTTTTGAAATTGAATTTTAAAAAATGGTTGAATTTTATTTAAGCTGTATTATTGAAAACTACAATTGATTGTAAATATAAATATTATGTTTTTTAAATGGAATAATCAAGCTATTTTTTTTTTTAAAAAAATATCTTTTTTGCTTTGTGTTTTTGAAAAAGGATATTTAAGGAATTAGTTTGATGTCTAATAAGAAAAATAGAAATAGCTCGGAAAATTAATGAACATGAATTTCGTTCAAAAAAAAGGATAGGGAGAACTAAAGTGAAAAACAACGTTAATAATGTACATACTATAATTTCAGTTCCCTAAACAAGAACCTTCTTCAAAGTCTAAACAACAAAAAATGCTTCTCGTGAATAAATCTCGCTGCCAAAAAATGAAAGAGTTTGTCAAAGCACCAAAATTGTTTATTGTACTATACTCAATTGCAAGTTCAGAAGAGACCATTGAGGTATAGGATTCAAGTAACCATCCGCGACTGCATATAGTCCCGTTTTATTTAGCTATCGAATTATATAATTTTGCTTTCAAAACAATATAAAAGCTTTTAGTTAAACTCGGCAGAAATTTAATTCGTGCTACTTTTTATAAGCAAAAAGAAAGCCGAGCTACGTCGTTTCACGAGTTCGCCACGTTGATATTCGTTGGCGCTTAGAGCTTGGAATCCATTTAGCGTGCACTTAGATGCAAAAAAGCTCTCTTTATAGGGATAATGGTTTTTTCTTAATAAGTATAATGTTAATTATAAGCAAACTTTATATATGTAATCTGATGAAATTATCTTAAGAATTTCGAATAATTTGCAAACTGCATATAGTCCCTGGCCAAATTATTAGACGCACTGTAAGATTCTATGTAAAATCTTAATTATCAGATGATACTATACAACTTTAGTGTTTTTACACGGCAGAAAAAGGTTTACACCTTTTTACGATGTTGCAAAATGCAACATGAGGTGGGTTAAAAAATTTTGTATAACCTGCATTTAATGTATACTTCAGTTATATGCATTCCTTACCTTTGCCTTCTAATTATTATTAATAGATTGTTTTGAGGGCATCATTTTGTGGACACTTTAATAATTTTTAATAATTTTTTGTTTCAAATAGCAACTTTGATACTAATACTAAGTCAAAGGATAGGTGTCAAAATTTCGAAAAACTTATACATATGCAAAGAAATGTGTATAAAATATTTTTAAAAGGTTTTTATTTTGTCATTGTCACTCTATATATAATACTTAGTACAGGTGTCGCTAAAATCGATGATGTTGCAAAACACGATATGAGGTGGGTTGAAAAATTCTGTATACTCTACATTTAATGTATACTTCAGTTATAGACATTCCTCACCATCGCTTTCTAATTATTATTAACCCTTTTAAAGGCCTTGGTAAGTATACTTACCTCCACGTTTTACCACTTTTAATTCAGGTTTCCGCTTTTCAATAGCTTCAGCTTTCTTGAAGTGAGTTTGAATAAAATTGGTAACCATTTGTCACTTTTAAAAAACGTGTAAAAGTTATAAAATACATAATTCCTTTTGAAGTTTGTAGCATTTAAGGAATTTATTTTATAATTAAAGAAAAATAAAGGTCAATAAGTTCCTAATAGATCATGTTAAATATATTTACCACCCAAAAAATGGCATTTTTATAAACTAAATGAGTTTTCTTTTATATCAATTACTGTTCTTAAAACAATTTCAATTCCAAAAATACTTTAATTTACCTTTACTAGAAATAAAAGGCCCATTAAAGGGTTAATAGCTGGTTTTGAGGGGATCATTTGGTGGACACTTTAATTATGTTTAATATTTTTTCTGGTTCAAATGACAACTTTGATACTAATACCAAGTCAAAGGATATGTGTCAAAATTTCGAAAAACATATGCATATGCTAAGAAATATGTATAAAATATTTTTAAAAAATATTTAGTTTGTCCTTGTCACTCTATATATATATTAGTTATCACAGGTGTCGCTAAAATCGATGATTTTGCAAAATACGATAAGAGGCGGATTAAAAATTTATATATAGCCTACATTTAACGTATACTATTATCTATTTCGACAATAGACATCAACCAGTTTTTCTAAAATCATTACCAAAGCAATTCAGAAAAAAGAAGAAAAAAAACGAATTTTTGGTGCTTCGATAGAGCCAAAAAGTCGATAAATTTTACCATATTCTGATAGTTTTCACCATATTTTTTTCTCAGCTTGCATCTGTTTCCTGGCAATTAATGTTATTTGATCCATTGCGCTCCGTCTTTCTCTTGCAATTATTTAGTATTGGTATGAAAGCATATATCACATGATTGTCGTGGCGGCTTAGAGCATTCATCTTCCAATTAGATGAACAGGAGTCGAATCCCAAGGATGGCTGGTCAATACGAATTTTGCATCCCGCTCACACCGACCACAGTGCTAACATAAAATATCTTCAGTGGTAGACGGATCATGGGCTAGAGTCTCCTTGCTGTTAGGCTAACCATGGGAAGTTTTCGTAATTCTCCTCTCTTAGTAACGCAAATGCGGGTTAGTTTCATCAAAAAAGTTGATCCGCGAAAGCTGATTTCTCCCAATACTAGATCCAAGAGATCCCTTGTCTTCTGGATTGGGTTCAAAATTACAAGTCTACAGAATAGAACATTAGTTGTCGTAAATCCAAAAATTGCGTCACCTGTTCAACCCGACGGTTATAATGCAATATATATCACATGACCTACGTTTTTTTTTTAAAGTTATTGAATATCCTTATAAATAAATAAAAAATTTCAACACCTGAAAACAGAAGTAATTTTCTTAAACTAAATGTACAAATATTCTAAATTTTTTTGTTGTTGCTATTCAATATTTTTTTACTAGACATTCGATAAATATTAATAATCAATTAAAGACTCTTTATATCTTTTTTTATTTTACTCTATTGATACACAATTCATGCGCACAACGCATTTATGACACAATAATTTCCAACCAGATGATTTGAATGATTTCTAAATTCACAAGTACAAATAGTGTTCTACTGCAAGTGTCTTTTGTGAAAAAACTCTTGAAAACAAATGTTGCTGTGATAGTAGGTTATACAAATAAGTGTGGTACACTAATAACTTGGGTTTTGATTGCGCTGCTCAATTTGCTCTTGGATACGTTTCTGTAAGAATTGTTTTACTTTCTTCTTATGTTGCATATGTTGACGTAGACGCTTTGGTGATTGCCCTTGACGAAGAAACATCTGGAAAACGAAGCTAAATTCAGCAAAATACTAAACAATTAATAATTCATAGAGTAGATATTTTGTTGCGTAATTGTGCTTCACTTCAACAATACATTTCAGTCAATACATGTCAGCTACATAATTGAGTTAACAATGCTTGAGTAACTCTTAAACCAAAATGGACTAAAATTGAAATATTAACTCTAAAAATATAAGAATAAATTTGCAGCACCTTGTTATTTCATGATACCCGATAGTTTTGATGTTTTACTTTTTAAAAAAATCTCAAAAAGTAACTATCAAAATTGCCAGCGGCATAATTGATCTATGCTCTTAAATTCACAATTATTACGCGAAACTTTCTTTTAAGACAACATGATTTGAAATTGAAGTAATAAATCTTACAATAATGGTCTCTTAGATTGTAATATTTTATTATATTGATTTACAAACTGGTTTTATTCAAAAAGAATAAATTTCAAATATTTTATAAAATAAATGTGGAAAATATATGTAAAACTATAACTGAATATGAAACTATAACTATAACTGAGTATGATGTTCATTTAAAACATTCTCAATGTGAGAGAGTAATTAATATTAAGTTTTCAAAAACAAAGAATTTTTTTGAAATTATCATAACTTGGTAAACAGAGACTACTCAAAGGAACGTACTGATAAGATAATATTATGCGACGCTTCGTTTGTGGATATATGCAATGTGAGAATTTACATTCTAAAATTATGGTAAAATAATCTGCAGTAGTCTGTCTATCAAATTTACCGTAAAATTCCCGATTACGAAAATTTCTTTACTCTTATAGACTTGAAACCATTTGCGAAAATATGTTTAAAAAACCGTGGATAATAAGCTATACGGTTCTGTGACCATTTAGAACTGGAAGAGTTTCAAAACCTTAAAAAAGAAATTTAACTGTAGATTGGAATTATGTTATGTTAAGCTTTTCGTTAGGTAATGGAGATTGGAGTTAGGTTGTGGTTGAGTAGTGTTTTGTCACGTGAGCCATGGAATGTAGCTTAATTAGTTTATTTTGTAGTGCCTTCTATCGGAGAAGAGGGAAAATACTAGACTTCTGGTGTTAAGCAGCTCTTTGGTGCTACCATCTATGCATGGATGAGAATTCCATATTCTAATTGTTTAGGGTCAGCAATTTGGGAGAGCAGGACACTGGAAATTCTTCATGTGTTGGAGGAATGGAAAAAATATTGTTGTGTCAACGCTGGAATTCGAATCATGTACAGCCGGTTATGATATTAACATATTTGCCCTCTTGACTAAAGTATGATTCCAGCTGTAAGGAAATAAGTGATTGTTATTTCCACTATATCATTTATTACTATAGGATAAATAGGCATCCGCTGTTGTGTCATGTATTCGATGATGGAAAATAAAAATATAAATTCATAATCCCGATCGCATAGCTTAGCTTCCAGCTTTTGAAGAATGTGCACTTGATTCTCAATGGGTGTGGACTTACTTGACACTGATAAAATTAGAGTTGCTTAATCGCAATTGACGAAAACAATAAAAAAAAACTATTAACGGTTTTAAACTATATTTTTATGGCTATTTGGCTGTTTTGATTGAATATGGTAAAATAATATTTACATAATATTTAATCTTTACATATTACATCATACATTACATATACATTTACATAATATTTAACCATTATATATTACATATTATTTAACCATTTTTTCCAAAAATTTCTAACTGCTCAAAACAGTAATAAGCGTTCGACTGTTTGAACCTCATAAGTTAATCTGACTTTTTCAGCATTTCGATATAGCTCTTAAAACCATTTAGAGATTCAAAAAAAGCAAATGCCAAAAAAGAGGAAAAAAAACAGGAAAAAATAATTTTTGGGATTATTTATTATTTTAATTGTTATATTTCACAAAAATTAAAAATATTTTTAATTCTACGTTGTACAGTTGTGCAAAATTTAACGCCATTTCAAAATTTATTATTTTAAATGACAAAATCAAATTTTCAGCGAAATTGGCTGAAATATTTTTGGGAAGTAAAAGCTTTAAAATAAAAATTTTGCAAATTCTATTACTTAGAAACTTTTCAACCGATTTCGCTTAAAATTTAGAATTTGGAATTTCAAATTACATAGTTTAAATCCGGTAAAATCTTGTAATGTTGTGAGTATCAAAATATTCCAAAGTGATTCTTCTTCTCATTTATTAATACACATTTGAATCAATTTGCTTAACAAGAAGTGAATTTTTTTATTTTTTTTGTTAAGTTATGAAAAAAATTTGCAAGTATTGAAGTTATTTCAATCTTTATATATTCAAAATGGTGCTGAAAGTAGCGAAGATTTCTAAACAAAATATTTCAATTATTTTAATTTTTAAAATAATAAGGTACAATTTTTATAGTATAAAGTGTAGAACTAAGTATAAATAATAAGTATACCTAATAATATTATATACGACTTTCATATTTAGTATATTAGTAAATGTATATAGTTTCTATTGAAATCTAAGTTTGAAAAATTCTTTTGTGAAGTCTTTTACTGATTAGATGTTTTAAATCTTTGAATTATACGATTTCTAGAAATTTAATTTTATTAAATGAGAAACAGCATCTTACTGTATCAGTTTTCTTCATTTTTCCCTGTTTTTTGAATTTCTTTTTAACGCCAACTGAATAAATTTTAGAAGAATTTGTTGCTGTACCATTTAAGCTCTTCTTCTTCGAACCTAAAACGATAAAAGAAATACAATCAAAGCACATCCAATAAACCTATTTCGTATAATAAATTCAGTCAAAACTGAAACATTTTGACAGAATTTATGTTTCAATTTTTTTTTAAATAAGAAATTATGAAAGATTAAAATTTGTGTCAATAGCACAATTGCACAATTAAATCAATCAGGAAAAAAAATTCTCATTGGTGTATCATTTGTGTTCTTACACAATTGGAACAATCAAATTTAAAAATTAAAATTCGTGTCAATAGTGTTTGTCATTTGTGTTATTTTATAACTGGAGCTATCAAAAAATACTTTTGTTGTACAGAGAATTCTTAAAAAACAACAGTTTTCCCTCAAGAATATATGGATTTCAACTGTGTTTAAATTGCATATTCATATATCATATTCATATATCATATTCATATTCTAAAAAAGAGTTATCGCATGGGGATAATTTAATAGTTTCAGAAGTTCATAAATATATTTTCAGGCGTTTTTAAATTCAAATGTAACCTTACTCAATTTTTAATTAAATTAAATATAATTAAATATAACCTAACTCTGCCATATTTAGATCATTGCCAACTTTCATGGAGAAAAAATAAATAAATTTTTAGTTGAAAGTTTCGTTATTATTAATCAATATCTCATACACAATAATCAGATTCACTATTAAATGTAAGGCTACACATTATTTTTATCTTCATTTTTAATTATGTTTAATAAATTTCACTTAAAATTTTTTGAATAAATTTCAGCAAAGCTTTGTTTTTTTAGTTAACTGAACCAATCCAAAAAAATAAATTATAATTAGAAGCAATTATTGTTAAAAAGATAATATTTTGCATGAAATTAAACTTGGATAACTTGTTATAACTATGTATGAAATTTTTCCATTTATAAAACAAATTTTAGAGATAAAACTAAAAACAGAATTAAGATGCCCATAACTTAGACCACTCTCCTGACTTAACTATACTGCCGTACAATGGAAAAATCAACGTGACAAAAAATTAAAAATTTAGATTTTTATATATATGGCTTCTATGTATGATAAGCTCACATATTGCAAAACATTTATTTTTCGAAAATAAATTATGTTCTATCAGTTCTCTGAATATCTATTTTTGCTTTCATAGCATGGGCAATAGAAGGAAAACAGTTGTCAAGACACGTTTCGAAATCTATTGCGAAGCACTTGCGTTGTTTTTTTTTTTTTTTTCAGTTGCACGGCAGTATATATTCAACCATATTTTTGTGAATGCAACTGCTTAAAAAATTTATATGTTCAGGAATACAAATTAGGTAAGGAAATATGGTATGTTTCTCAAAGAAAGTCAGAAAGTTCTTAATTCAGAAAATATTTTTTAAATGATATTGCATAAATGTATAAGGTTTGACCCGTATTCTTCAAAAGCAATCTCTTTCTTTCCTGAACACAAGAAAATTTAGAACAAGAAAATCTGTTGTCATCTGTTTTTAACAATACTATCTTTTGCTTAAAATTTAAATGAGCTTTTTTATAAGTGATTGTTAAGAGCGTTAGACTAACTATGAAGGAATTTTGACCAACTAGAATTAAAAGAATTATGAAACTTTGTAACAGCAATAATTAAACATCCAAAAAAATGTTACAGACAACATTTGCGTCTAAAAAATTTTACAGGCAATTACCATGTCTAAGAAATATCGAATAGTTAATCTGGCATGATAACAAAAGATAAAAAACAACAAATCTGAACTTAAATTAGTTAAGTTTAATTCAGTAAGCTGATTTTTCCTAAAATAATTCTCTTTTTCCTTTTTATTATCCACGGAACTTTGAAAGGCATTGTTATTTTTTCATACTGCAACTCTTTCCCTTAAAACAAAATTATTGTAAAAAAAGAAAGATTTAAATCTAAACTATCTTTAATATATTAATCTAAGAACACAAAGAATTTAACTTTTGTAATAATGTGAAATAGAGCAGGAGAGAAGAGCCTAGCAAATTAATTGATCGACAGAAATAAAAAGTGATTCTGTTTGATACCATACTGAAATAGGATTCTCATAAGCTAAATAAATGATCCAATTGAACAAACCTCTCCCCCATACTGTAAATACTTATCTTACCTCTTTTTCTAGTTCCTATAGAATAAGATGGATCAGTGGAAACTTCAAATATTTTAGGATTATTCGAAGATGGTATCACATCAGGACGGGAAATTATTAATCTCTTGTTTCTTCTGTTAATTTCTTCCGGAAAAGTTAAATGAGAATGAATCCACCACTAAATAAAAAAGCATTTTGTTTTAATAAATAATGTAATTTGTAGCAAAATTTTCTAATTTCTTAGCAAAATATTTTATTAAAAAAATAAGGAAAATCATGAGGTTTTCTTTCGTATAAAAAATTTAAATGAAATCCTTTTCATTTTGACTACAAATATAGAGGGACAAAAATATGTAAAGAAAATGCAAATTTTCATTTAGTCTAGCATTTTAATGGTTAGACAAATATGTATGAAGTGTAAAAGTGATCAGTTAGTTAGCGCTTTTTTCAAGGATGTATTATAGTAATAGGAGTAGGAGGAGGACGGTGTACCCCTATTTTTTTCATAAAATACCACTTTCGTCAATTTCAGTTTTTTTACGATTGTAACTTTTTTCATTTATATAAAATTTACACATTTCTGTTTGTGTTTCTCTGCTGTACTACAAGCAGGAATAATTAATACGAAATACTGAAACGGTCTGCCAAGTTATTATGTTGTGTTATTTTCATTTTTTGTTCAGTTTACATTCTCTGAAAATTAAGAATTAACTTGCTTTGTGAAATATGTTCAACCCAATGCAAAAACTTGTAAAATAAGTGAAGCTGTTTAATATATAACAATTTTCTCACTAAATTATATTAATTTTACTTTGCATGTTTAGTCATGTACGTATTCTTTTAAAAATATTACTTTTCTTCTTGGTACTTACTGCACTTTTGCATGTAATTTTTGTTCATTGCTGACCAAAATTGTTCTCTTTTATTAAAAAGCCATTACTTTTAATTTAGATGCACTTAATGTAAAAATAATATTTGGATACATTGTTACCTTCTTTTTGATGCAGTGATTAAAATTACAGATAAAAATGTATTTTTTTCAATGCATATTCTTTTTGTGTCATTTTTTTGTAAGTTTTTTTTTTTGTAAGATGCGTAAAAATTTGCTTATAAAATTATTTTGCGAAAAACTAACGGTAATAGTATTATTTTGAGTAATAATTATAATTAATTTCTTAGTCATATTTGCTTCAATTTCAATGATCTATAACATTCCTGGTATTTTATTTTCTTAAACATAATGCAAGAAAATAAAAATGACCCATTAATTTGCGGAAATAAAGTGCACTATTTTTGCCGTTAATTAAACGTTCACTTTATATTTAAGGTGAAGTTTATATAGAATTTAAAAAAAGGAAAAAAAATCCATTTTCAGTTAATTTTTTTTCTTTGCAGAGTTTTTTCACACGACAAAAAGATTCTGGTAAAAATGCCATACAGCAGGGTAAAGACTGTTCTGGTAAAAAAAAAATCTGGTTAATTAAGCCAAAATATAGAGTATCTAAACCCTTCATTTGGTAGTTTTTCCTTTCATATGGTAACGGTTAATCAGAAATTCCAGTTTTCAAAATTAAAGTTCTTATTGCAACATATTTAATTAACAAAATACGAAATTGAAAAGCAACTTTAACTGAATATATGGTTTTTGTGTCTTGCTCTAAGGTTTGATAAGGTTTCATGCCAAATTTTACCACATTTACCAAATCTTACCACAGATTATAAAACCATATTTAATTGTTAATTTTACCAAAATCATTACCCAAGCGTTTCGGTAAAAATGAACAAGATTTTTGATATCTCCACCAAACACAGTAAATAGTACCACATTCTGGTAGTTCTGACCATACTTTTTTTTCTCGTTGTATAAATTTAATAAGTATAATCTTTCAATATAGCTGAAATGTCAGTAATGATGTATTTTTTCCAAAATTTATAATTCATAATAACGATCAAAGCCTTCTACTCAATTATCTGAAAGTTTTCCTCTTTTGTGTGCACCCTCAGGTCATATAAGAATATAAGTTTGGAAGTAAAGGAAAGCTTTTAAAGATATCTCGATTCAAAACTGACTAGAAGAGATTATTTCAATTTTTGACATGTAATTTTCCGGAAAAACTCCTCTCCTTCTAAATAAAATAAAACATAATAAAAATGATAAATGAATATCTTCCCTCATGAATACCTTTTTTTAGATAAACCATTACATATTTATGCCAGTGAAATCCATAATTCTAAAAAGCATTTTACAAGGAATAAAAAATAAAATTTATTACAGTTAGACATTTTTTTCAAATTTTTAATAGGTACCCATAAAATACCGAATTCTGTATCAAAAAAGCAATAACTGAATTTAAATAAATTCTAAAATTATATGTGTTATTACAGCTACTGGGTGATAACAGTAAAAAGCAGGAAGAAATCAAATGGTCTAATTTTAACGCTTCCAAAACATTCTAAAAACGTACAATGGCAAAATGTTCGATGCAAAATGGAATAAATCCTGCATTTTTTTAAAAAAAACATATATATATAAATAATATAATGCGTAAATAAAATGTATTTTGTCCATATAAATATAAGATGAAAATTTTTTGTATTCCTCAGCATCTAAAATTACAAAGAATACTTAATTCAAATCATTTCTTGTATACTGTGTTATCGACAGACCACCGAAGTCAAGCATTACTAGTTACGGTCAGTGTGCGGATGGGTAACCACTTGGATCAATCAGCAAAGGGCCCGAGGATGTGTGGTATTGATCCTCGTTAAACTGTTCTACAGTACAGTGCTCAACTTCGAGCTCAGGTCGTCGGGCTACCAAAGTAGGGGAGCTATCCCCTCTGCAGAGGATCAAAATTGTGATGGCAGGTCTTTGGATCATCCTTATGGATGTTTTTCAGATCACCGCCAACGGCCCATTGTGTACCTCCAGTGCGACGTATATGAACTACGACAATTCTGTGTTATCGCTCAATACTGTGTAATACTGTTCAGTATTCTTAGCTCAAAACAAAAAACTGTCTGGATTTAGCCTTTACGAATAATCTTATATCAAAGAATACTAGCAAATAAGGTAATTGGACTAATAATCGAACTAACGTAATACCACGGGTAATTTTTTTAAAGGCAAAGGCTAAAAAATAACGATTTTTTATTGATGAATTCGATAGTCAAAATACTAAAAAAAATCCTATATATCATATTTATATTCCAAAAATTAACAAATTTTAAACAGTTAAAGCACGCGCTACTTCATCACATTCAAATCAAAAACTTTCAAATTGGTGGGATGATGGAAAATCTGATCTGATTCACAAAAATTTTTAAGTACATACATAGAAGAAACAGTTATCGATGAAATGGCAAATATTATAAAGAATATATATTATGTTTTAATGTTTTGTTTGTATGTATGAAATATATATGTTTTTATTCAAATCACGCGCGGTGATAAAAAAAAAATCTGGTAAAATTACAGTACTGTTTAGTAATGACATTTCTGGTAAAAAAATAATTTTGGGTAATAAAACCGTATTATACGGTATTTAAATCATTCATAAAGCCTGGATAGCCTGGTTGGTAGGGCTTTGGAACAATGTATAAAGGATCGTGAGTTCGATCCCCACTAGACGAAGACTGCAGTAAATGGTTACTGGTGCACGTTAAATATGTTGGGTCCCAAAGTCCTCCATGTTCCCATAACAAATCAGTCCTCTGTAAGAACTGAATTGGAGATTGATTGTTCTCGGGTTCTGGTCAAAATTCCGATCAGTGGATGAATGAATGGATGTATGAATGGGTCCGTCCTATAAACGGATTGTGACGTGTGGGTGGCAATCATTTGGAAATTTTTCCTTTCATATGGCAGCTTTTACCGAAATTTCAAGTTTTCAAAATTATAGTTCTTATTACCACAGATTTAGTAACAAATACAAAACTGAAAAGTAAATTTAACCAAATAAATGGTTTTTATGCCATGCTCTAAGGCTTTATGATAAAACTACCAAATTTTACCACAACTACCAAATTTTATCACTTACAATCGAACCGTAATTTTGTTATTAATTTTACCAAAATCATTACCAAAGTACGTCAGTAAAAATTACCGAGATTTCGTAAGTTCCCAGTAATTGTACCATATTTTGATAGTCTTGACCATACTTTTTACTCAGTCCAACATTTTTGTTCAATAGTTTACTTGTTCACAATTTATTTTAGCTCATTGACGATATTTCAAAAGTAATACAAATATTTAAAAAATTGATTTTTAATGAAATTAGACAGTTTAAGTTAAGGATTTTTACTGCTATGCAGATTTTCACTGCTCAGTTGAAGATTTTCACTGCCTATATTGTTTTACTACAATTCTGTTAATTAAAATTACGGTGCTTGAAGTAGTCTGCAGAATGTTAGGGCTTACACAAATAAACTTTTTAGGTGATAGGGTAAACTAGCCAGTGAAGGAACACTTAAGCTTAGCTCGCCTTTAGAAAAATCATAAAAATTTAAAAATTTGAAATTTTAGCTAAATAACAGTGCCAACATATTTGTTATTAAATGCAAATTATGTAAAAAATATATAGAGAACTTACATAATATTGTTTTAAGCTTTTGGTGGTTCAAATAATAAGTAGAAAGATAACAAAGTGAAGGAACAGTTCTTACCAGTGAATGAACACTAAATTTTCCAGTGAATGAACACTTAATTTTGATAATGTTTGATGCTCTTTAGGAATTCATAGGCCATACAAATGTCTAATAACAAGATTTTTCTTGGAATTATAGCATATAACCATAGTTTACGTGGAAAATTTTACTTTTTCAGTCATGAAATGGAAAGTAAAATGCTGTTGAATACAGAATAAAAAAAATGTTTTTAATTTTCCTTCTCACAGTTTAATAATCGATTCTAAATCATTAATGCTTATCATTGTGAAATCCTATAATGTTTTATTATTATTATTTTATCGCCTTTTTGTTTAATCTTTTACCCCATATTTTCTGAAGCTTTTTTTTTATCCTTCTAAGTTTTTTTTTCTCTTCATCATACTTTCTTGCTTTAACTTTTTTGTCAGCTCTTTCAGTGTCTTTAAATTTTCGTCCTTTTTCTGAAATTAATGCAAAAGGTAATTTATTTCTGGGTTGATTTGATCTTCCTTTTTTTCCCAATGTTTGGCCAATGTAAATGTATCTTCGAAATTTCTTCTGATTTTCCAGTACCAATTCTAGAATTTCTCACAGGATAATTGATGGGGAAAATGTGTTTCGAAATTTGAGGAAAATCCATCTCTCGTTGACTTATATCTAGTGGGTCTTCAGCAGTACTTACCCTTTTCTGACTCTGATTAATAATGGAATGAATTGTTTTTGCAACTAATAATGCCTCAAGAGGACTAATCTCAAAATCAGTTTTCAAGATACATTCATTATCAGTGTTAGTTGTTTCAGCTCAGTGTCAAAATTTGACTTAACCACATGTTCTTTTTGCAATAAATTCTTCCATATTGAGAAAAGCACAGGCTATTGGATATTTGGGAGATTAGACTCTTCTGTCAATGTTCCTTTAAAAATTTGCAACATATCTTTTGAGATTTCTTTCTCAAGATTATGAAGAAATACAGCATCGTTACTCGAAGTTCTCGTTTATCGAAATATGTGTTATGTTGATAAGCTTTCTTGCTCATTAACTTTTTGTGTCTGTCTTGCATGCATTTGTTAAAGTCAACGTTTTCAACATCAAATGGGAAAATACCACATTTTATAAGAGCATTTTAACTTCATCAGTTGATGCCTCAAAAGCCTATTAAAAATGGGTGTAAAATTACCACTACATATTGTTTTACTGCTCTTTTGTTTTCAAGATCTAACGGAAGTTTCATTTAAGCTGTAAAAGCTCGAAATATGCCTACATCACAAGGCTGGAATACACTAGTAGAATTAGGCAGAAAGCTAAACCAGAGAAGTTGTTCTGATAAACAAAACTTGCTCAGTTTCAAATTGATATGAAATTTATGCCCCTCCAGAAGAAACAAAATAAGGAATTTGATAGAATTTTCAATTAGCCATGAGTAGAAAGAAGCATTTGCAATATATTCGTAAAATGTAGCTGTGATCATTGACTCACTTCATGAATCACTTTTTCCAATGAAATATACAGCATGAACTGATTCTGTAATACTTGAGGAATTCTTCAGAAAAGAAAAACTAACAATGGAGGTACTATTTTTCCACTAGCTGAAATGTTGGCCAAAACTGTTGTTCTTTCTTTTTCATTCCTAGGAACCATAAAATCTAAAACCTTATAATTTTTAGGGCCAAAGAATTTTCCCGTTTAAGAGCAGTATTCAACCCCTGTTTCGTATTGCAGATGGGATCACATTCTAAGAAGATGGCAAGTCTATTTCCCTCCTTAAGATTCCTCTAAAATTCTTTAAACCACTCTCGAATATTATTCTCTGAAAAGGAAGTTTTGCCTTTTGAAATTATCTTCGCATTGCATTGAGTTTTCAGTGGATGTTAACTTAAAAAAAACTTCACCCATTTTTCACCTGGATGTCTGTCTTTAAATGAATGTTTCCTACCCGTTTTCGTAATGACGTTAAAGACTGCATTATGATAATAATTTAGTTAATTATTGGCGCAAAAGCCAGCAAAGAAATGTTCTATTCCAGTTTTTATTATTATATTTATTTCGATTTCGATTAGTAAACATAGTTTATTGAGCTGTCTAACGTATGATGGAACTAACTACTACATTTATAAAGATAAATAAATTATGATAATAATTCTTTCCCTAAATTAAGCAATTAAATTAACATTTATTTTAGGAGTCATTCATATAACATTTAACAGAATTTCGGGTGGCCTCGATAACGCAGAACTACTAATTAATTTAGAGCCATGTAAAATCATATTTCACACCTAATGTTCATTCACTGGGAAATCAATATCCAGTGAAGAAACATGCCTGTTCCTTCACTGAATAGAAGTCGTTTTTTGTATTTTTAACATAATTTTGATGCATAATATGACTAAAGGTACAAGAAAAATAAATTTTTTCTTTTATTTTCATTAACTAAGTTAAAAGTATTTTGTATTAAATTTTAGAAAATATGCTTTACAGTTTGCCTAAATGATGATTAAATTAAGAAACAGAAAGATTTCGTAATTTATTTTTATGAGTAACTCATAGTTTGTCTGCACTTAACACAGCAATTAACACAAAGTAAGCAAAAGAAAAATTATCACCCTGAATAGCTCACGTTCTATTAATCGGTCAAACAGTTATGAGTTACAAATTTCACAAAGGCTGGATTTTTAACTTTTCCTGTTTCTGAAATTTTCAACCAAAATCTTTCGAATTTTGGATTTTGATATTTAAAACCATAAAGAATAAAATATTGTGCAAATTTATATACCGTGTATTCAAAAATGTTTCCACCATTATTAAATGAATTGTTAAAAATTAATTAGTGATTATTAAAAATTAACTTCCTCATCTGTGGACAAATGATTTTTATACATGTATGTAAAGAATTTTCAATCGGCTTAAAATGTTCTTGTAATATGGCTAAATAAGCAAAAAGAGAAAGGAACCATAACCTTCGATATTCCAGAAGTCGAAGTCTATTGAGACCATATTTTCCGGATTGTGATAACTCCCTTTATTTTTATGATCAAGAATATACTTAAAAAAGGTTCATGAAGAATACAAATTCTACTGAAATTACCGTACTGTATAGTAATGACATTTCTGGTAAAAAATAACAATAATTCTGGTTTATAAAACAAAAATATACGGCATTTAAACCATTCATTAAGTAACTTTACCGTTACCATTCAGGCGTACCGAAGAGCATAAACCGTTACCGTTCAAGCGGTAATGGTTTAACGGGCATTCCAGTTTTAAAAATTATAGTTCTCATTACCACATACTTAGAAAAAAATACAAACTAAAAAGTAAGTTTAATTGAATAAATAGTTTCATGCCATGAAATTTGATCATGATGAAATTTAAAATTTTACCACTTTTTCGAAGTTTTATCACATTTATATGTGATAAAATTATACCATCTTTTATTATTAAATTTGCCAAACTCATTACCAAAGCGCTTCTTTAAAAATTACTGCGATTTTTAATATTTCCATAGAGACAGGAACACGGTAAATTTGATCATATTCTGGTAGTTTTGATAGTATTTTGTTTTCTCAGTGTATGTTTATTCAGAGAAAATACGTGTCTGGTTTATTTAATTGGCAGTTATCATTAAATATTAAGCATATTTTAGGTCAACTCTTTAAGCCAATCAAATGGGTACAATTCCGATCATTAGAGCATAAGTTATTCAGGAAATTTTTTTTAATTGTACACAAAGTTTACATTTTTGTATTTTAAAATTAAACAAACGTTAAAGCATCGTGAAGTTGTTGTTTTTTGACTTCTAAGTGGTAGTCACTGTAATTTAATGAAGCATTGATTTTTTTTTAGTGCAATCCAATTTATAAAATTCGAAGAAAAAAGAAAGTGTTTGTACTACCTTATATTCCTTATAAGCATCTAGATTATTAGACTGTCCTACAGCTGAGTTTAAAAAGCATAGCCCTATAAAAGAAAATTTCTGTTTAACTTTTTTACTATAATATTCAAAGCAAAAATTATTATTTAAGGAGCAGAAAAAAATACATGATGCAAATCAAGAAACAAAACATTTCTCTGAATGTTTTACAAGGGGATACATTCAAAATTACTTCATGCTGATTGAAGTAAGTACTGGAACAAATATTGGAACTATTTTTACATAGCTTAAGAAAATTTAGTGAAATTCCTGTTGAAAAATCTTGCAATATCCAGAAAACTGATCTTAAAATTATTTTCATGGGTCTATTCAATATATATGTGTTTGATATACAGTGTAAAAAATTCGTATATTTAAAATGTAATTTTTCAGGAACTATGCAATTGATTTCGCTCAAATTTTGTATTTTGCCATGTAAAATTACATACCTTAAAATGACGTAAAAATTTGTATGCTTTACAATTCAAAATTTTTTCGACAAGTATTAAATAAAATAATGAATATTCGCTAAAATTTATTTCTTGCATGGAATTATCTTTCGATAAGCGAATTTTATTCCTCTGTGCAAAAACTTTTCAATTCGCTTAAAAAGTTCACGAGATATGGCGAAATACGCAAAAATTAAAATGGGCATTAAAGAGTCCAAAATTTGGATCGCTCTCCTGGCGTAACTATGAGGACTACATTTCCCATATTGCATCTGTATGTAAAAATGTATGTTTATTCAAAGAAAGTACGCTTTTGTGACTGATTTCTTAACTTAAAATATCGTCTACACTAACTAGTTAACATATTTGAAGTCACCTCTTCGAACTATTAAGATTAAGTCCTAGAACGTGAAGATCAGATCATTAGATCAAACTTTATCTAGGGTGATCCTTTGACGCACTATGCATTACGTTAATGTAAGTTACATATTTGCCATTTATTAACTTTTTAATATTTTTCGAAATGATTGAAATTTTGAAAAAAAGTCGTTATATTCTGAGTAAATGGTAACTACATATTATGCGCAGCATAAAAAAAATACGCCAAACTGTATCATTTTTATTAACTTATTTACCAAGCACAAAGGCGTATCAATAATATGCAAAGCTTTTCGAAATCAAAATTGTTATATATTTTTTATGTCTTTAAAATTTTTTTCGCTAAAAACTTATCGCACTTAAAATTACCCGGCTTAAAATGCTATAAATATGCTAGAATATTGTAAGAATTCTCTACAGAGACATGCAGAGCTCAGGGTAACTTTTCGATTTGATGCCTCTAGTCCATAATCACAAAAAATGCCAATTTAATTTCAATCACTGACCTTAATATGCAGTTTATCCTTGTCAAAAAATGTTATAAAAAGTACACACACTTGATTTTAAAATTAATATTTAAATAAGAAAAAACGCGCTATCTAAAGTCTATTGAATTGCTTGTGAAGAAGCCAGAATGAAAAACCAATTTGATTGCCTTCATTTTTTAATATGAAATAACTATTCAAATTTTAATGAAATGGAACTATATTTCTAAATTTGTTTGGAAGAAATATTTTATTCTTTAAAAAATATTTTCCTAAAGACACATGTTAAACCACCTGTCATACCATTCCTTTAAGCAACAAAAATAATAGTAATAGATTTAAAGAATAATAGTTTTCATAACGAATAATAGTACAATAATAATAGAATTACTTAAAATAATAAAATTATTTGAAAAAATAATATCAGATTTAAGTTGTTTCCCCTATGCATACCTCTGAAAACCTGCCAAAATATTGCTTAGCTCAGTTCTCAAAAAGTGAGATCATAACACAAGTCTAAAACTGAAGCTCTCTCAACGATTAAATTTAATATTAATTGGCAATCAAATTTTCAAACTAAATTTACATTTCTGTCTAGTTTTAAGGATTTGGCATAAATTTTTTTAAAAGGTTTCTATATAGACCTTTATTTATTTTAAATACCCATTTGTTCAAAAAAAAGGAGATAAAGTTTCTAATTACAATTATTTAAATAATATTTTTAACAGATGGCAGCCCTAAAAAATTTGCTACGTGAGAAAGTTTTGGAAATAAAGATCCAGTGTTCTGATGTATGTCCAAACATAAGAGTCAAAACAAATTATTTTAACAGAAATATTTATTAAATAAGAATTTTAAACTATTTTTTCACGCTTAAAATAACTTTTCAAATATTTTAAAACACTTCCTAAAATTTTATTGCTATGAACTTATTTGATGTTAATCAAGAACACCAGCAAGTATGATTAAATATCGCTGCAAGTTTTTCAAAACATATATTTTTGAAACATGTAAACACAGAATTTTATTATTATTCCTTATAATACCTTGCCCTCTAAGACATTCTTAAAATTTTATTTAAGTAATGCACACTACTTACCATTCCATAAAATTTTATTTAAATAATGCACACTTGAGATATATAACAATACAATTTATTTTATGCTCATTATTTGCTTCATTTCCTTTCCTAAATTTTGGTAAAATTCAAGGTACATTGAACCACAATAAAAAAATCTTAAATTGGCATATTTCAAAAATATATGTTTCAGAAAATGTATTGCAAACAATGATTGAACCTTTCGGCTTCCTTCACATGACAAAATATAAATTGTGTAATATTTCATTACTGTTGATAAATTCAATTTTGATTTAAAATTTAACCTTGCTTTTGATTTATTTTATGCCCATTGAAAAACTGATAAGTCGATAAGTTCGATCATCTTATGTGACATATTTTTTAAAAACAACTATATTTTTAAATTTAAAAATTGTAAAGTTTATGTATATATATATATA